TATTAATTTGATCATCCAATATAATCGGAATGCTGTATAATTTGTTATAATATCAAATTAGGTACTCAGCTAACATCTAAATTTAAATCAATACATTTCATACTAAATTATCAAAACGCGAACGGAGTATTGGGCAACACAGATATTATTATGACTAATGCCCAGTGGCGTGCAGACAAAACACAAATGGGGCCACTTGAATGTGGGGTGGGTGTGGATTTATTTTTATTTTTTTATTTAATAAATATTGTGTTTTCATAAAACTGTAGAGAGGCCCTTAATAAAACATATATTATTTGTAACTTTTAGTTTTAGGTGGGTGGCGGGTGAAAAAAATTAGCTTTGCTCCACATGGAAAAAGAGATCTGCACGCCACTGGTAATGCCCAACCTATTTTATATATTTCTATGATACCGTATACTTACTATATATTCATATAAGTGCTTAAAGCTTAATGCCGTCTGCAGAATATGGTTACCGAGTGTGTATATAGTCGTATCGTAAAAATTAAACTTTAAAAATGTAGATATAATATAATATACTTGGCTTACTTATTTTATGCATTTTAAAATAACGATAAAAACAAAATGGGTACCATAAACGCAATGCGAATTCAATTTTTAGTAATTGGTGGTAAAAATTGTAAATAAATATAAAAATGTAAAAACAATATACGACAAAAAGTCAGAAAGAGAGCATTATAGGTAATGCATTTTAAAAATTCAATATAATATGTATAGTCATTAGTCAGTACTAATAACTATTTACATACAACTGTTGTTCTTATATACACTTTATCAAAAGTCGGTAAAAGTTGTTAACATACCTATGCTTGTGTATTATTGTGAGTTTATCTTATTCGGAGTAACCATTAGTTATTATAATAATATTTAAAAAACGACTCCTGCTAAACTATCTACAAATTATATAAATTATGATAATAATATATTAAATAAAACTTCTCATATAAAGGTATATATATATATATATATCTCAATCGTGTACTACACTTTATAAATGAAACTTTCGGATCGCTAATTTTATGTTGTATTAAAAAATCACCTTTGACTAGGGCGTGAAAATTCACGATCTAAAAATAGTATAAAGTTTAGTCACTATTATAATAACTATCGAAATATGTGCACGATTATACGTTTATTTCATTAAAATCACAATAAATATTAATCAACGTTTATTTATTTTTCGAGTCCTTGTAACGTAAATAATATAATTTAAAAAAGAAATTGTCCATAAAATACGTTCAATTATATTTTTATGTTTAATCAGGAGATGTTTAATAGTAGGCTACAGGTTATAGGTACATTATGATTGTAATCATTTCACATACCTATATACTTARTATTATATTTAGAGCATTCACTATTAAAACTACGACAGATATATGTTCATACATAATATATAGTATATAATCCCACGATCCCTATAATTGATATAATATATGATAAGTACCTATAACCTATATATAGTACACACTAATCAGTGGCGTATTTTGGGTGATTTCTCGGGGGGTGTCAACATTTATTGAACCTCAAAAACAAAATTTTTACTATTATTTACTAATGTAAAAAGACATTGAATTAATTTTTTAACAAATTAATAYGTTAGGAATTGACAAGAAGTTTTACATTTGATAAAAATAGTATACTATAAAATAAGTGACAACACTAATGTCTAATATATTAGGACTTTTTTTTAAATGTCGGGGGGTGTYAAGACATGGAGGACACCCCCCAAAATACCCCACTGTGCATAACTATAACACGTGTTTGGACAATAATGGAAAATGGAAATCATATTACGTGGTTTTAACGAATACATAATCACTATTATTACCTACTTTTCAAGATATTAAGAAACAACGCGCAAAATAACAATTTCTATAATAATTGTTTAATATAAAGGCCTGCCAGCAGTTAATACGAAGCGAATCGAAWATTGTAAAGATTGTTTTATGYCTACGAAAATTGGCCGTTTAAAATTTTTCGATAAAAACTTAGGTATTAGAACTATTTACGTAAACTCCTAAATGGCATCGCGCGTAGTTATACTATGCAATATAACATACTTGGAAAGTTGGAAGTCATCAAGACCATATAGTACTGCGAAACTTCCAAATAACTAACTTACTAATTTTTTGTTCAGTGAACTATTTTTGAAAAACCATGAAAATATGAATATTGTTATTGCAAATATGAAATTCTATTTAACGAATATTCCTCTYTATTACGAATTGTTTTTTGTTACCCACGCGACTTCGTTTAATGGAAGTTTCACTGATATCATATTAAAACAAACTAAGCAAACTTATATCATAATATTATGTAAATTATTATATCATTATGTTCTGACCGTTTATGTGGCACACGCTTTCCGTTTCCAGGAGCGTCCGTCCTATTTCGCACATGGGCTGGAGCCGTTGATCGTCTTCGTCTACGTCGCCGCCGCCGYCGTCGGACCTCTCGGGCCATGCAAACCTCACTTCGGTCAGCTGTCCGGCGAGAATTTTCATTATGCAATCCGACTGCGGGTGGTTGTGTATGGACGAACCGTCGCCCTCGCCCCAGCACAACACCATCAGGTTAAACTTGCCGTTTCCCGCGTCCACCAGGTTCCTGGTATACCGGAACTTGTTGAACTTGGCGTACTTGAGCCACTCGGCCGGGTCGCTCCGGTACGACTCCATCAGGTACTGCACGTACTCGACGTTGACGCGGTCCTCGGCAAACACCCTGTGCAGCTCGTCGATCAGATCGGTCAGCCGGAACTTGCCACCGCTGCACCGGTCAGCGTCCGGCTGCACCACCGGCCGGTAAACGTCCGACGGCATGTTCCGTTTCCGGCAGTAGCCCCTTATGGCCCGCACGGTCGAGCCGCAGTCTTCGCCGTCGTCGTTCCGTTGCACTTGCTCGTGCAGCGTCGTCCTGGTGCACGGCCTCTTCGTCGGCCACGGCATCGGCTGTTGTCGCACGTTGTCGCCGTCGTCGTCAACCGTCATCGCGATCGGAACTTCTCTTCTCTTGACGCACTGTTGCTGCTGCTGMTGCTGACTGACGCGTTCCATGCCAACACCTGCGCAGGTACATTCGGTTAAAAACACATCATACACATATTTTATTATAATATGTATGTACATAAATATGCACGTGTCCAAATTTTTATACCATGAGTGCTAAATCATCCGAGTTTATACCATGTGTTCTATATCACACGAGTTAATACCAGCACGTGCTACATCAAATTTAAAATGGTATAATCAAATAACTCGCAGAGAACAAGATACCGTTGCACGCGGCACTGCTGCAGCTCCAGGTGTTATTACTATTACTATATCGCGAAGTACACTCTATAAGTCTTGACGAGGACGACTCGGAAKAAGTTTGTTATTTTATTATAATACATGGACGATGGTATGCACGAGTACGATGATAATATAATTGTAGTTTCCGTACTGGAAAGCGCGCGTTTTTTATACGACGTCCGTAACTGAGCTGGTGTGCGTCCCACCTCCGCGAAGTGCGTTACCCCACTTCAATTTTTTTCCCAATCCATACGGGGTGATTCTTTGAAGGTAAAAGATAATCATTATTTTACCATWAAGTTTTGAATATATTTTTTTTACATAAATTGAGATAATTAAAAACTCCATTACATAGTTTTTCAGATTTTTATTTTTTTTTTAATCACAAAATTGATACATTTCAAACTTCATATCCTGAAGTAAGATGTTTTTCTGAGTATTATTTATTTATATAATTTACACATACATGACAAGCCCAAACGTATTAAGAACGGAGATTAAGACAAGATTAACATTACGGTTAAAA